ACTTTGTTTTTATAGACTTGCTAGAGAAAATTTAACAAGAAAAGTCAAAAATAATATATAGTAGGTACAATCTTGCTTAATATTATAAATTTATATTAAAAAAATAAAAATTAATCTTTAATTTATTAATAATATAATTAAATTTATTTACATAACAATAATAAACTTAATATTAACTTTTTCTTCGTACGTTAAACAGTAGCATAGAGTACTAGAGGAATATCTAATGCCGCATGACCTACAAACACCTATCTTGTCTTCCATTAGGTGGTCTCGAACTGAGTCCGGTGGCTCCTCGAAGAAGTGGAATCCTTTGCTTAAATGACAGAATTCAGATGCGATAGTATTAGCACAAAAATTCCTATCACGCATAATATGTATCACCTAGCAGGTCCAATCCCTTTTTGCAAGTAGGCTTTACAACGATTAATCAAGTGAGATAAAGCATTTGGCTCAGTGGAGTCATTCATTATCTTTTGCAATGCTAGCAGCGAATGAATCTCTATAATAACTCGTCGATATCCTCTACTCCATGCTAGCTCCTTTGCTTTCCATATGGCAAATAGCTCAGCCCAAATGGCGTGCCCCACACCCAGCTGCTGTGTAAACCCAAAAATCCATTGGCCTGAAACATCCCGACAACACCCACCTAACGCAGATGCATCCGGTGATCCTTTTGCTGAACCATCCACATTTATTTTAACAAATCCTGGTGGTGGTGGCTCCCTCCCAGCCCATGAATTGTAATTCAATTTTTTTTCTTTCCTAAAAAAGTTGCCGCTTCTGCTAGATGGTGTTTTAACAAAGGTTCCTTGGTTGTAGTACATGTGACCTCTTCGTCGAATGCTACCATATTAGCATTCACTTAAAAAATAAGACCTGCCTTATTAGCATTCACATAGAAAAGATGAGATCAAATAAAGAAAAAGATCAAACAATATGAAGTTACATGTGTTGAGTCATTAAAGATAAGAGTTAATTAGCATCTTTTAAGAGGATGGAATAACTGATTTACATAATTCAAAGGGTTTGAAAATTTATTTATATCGTTTTTAGTTTAAAGGTTCACATGCATGTAGGGGAACTTAAGAGTGGTTTTGCCAAAATTATACAGTCCAGCTGGCAGATTACAAAGTCAAAGAGAAAGCCCCAGTACGAGACAGGCCAGCAAACAAAACATCATAGGTACTGCAGACACAGGTGGTTTTTCCGGAGACAGAAGTTTGAAAACAGCAAATAGAGAAGGGGATTGGGGAGAGAAAGAAGACGGTGGAAAATCCCAGCCGAGAATGTGCTTCCTCCAGCAGATCGGTATCAAAGTAGGCAGGGCTTCTCTCTCCAACTCATTCCTTTCTGGTTAAATCGCAGCCAGAATCTACTTGATGAATTTGCAAGCTTAGGGAGTTCCCCTGACTGAGTTTGCAACCATGGATCTTGAGGTTCGACTTCATCACATATCTGTCAGATTTTGGCCTTAATTTTCTTTATACTGGACATCATAAGTTTCTTTATATTGGACATCATTAGTTCTTTTCTCGCTTGAATTTCATGTTTCAACATCCAATTTTTGGCCTTAAATGCCTCTAGATTGAACCTCAGTAGCTATTTCTTTTCTTTTATCTCACCTTCAATCTCCGATTTTCAGCCATATATACATCCAGATTGGACTTCATTACCTGTTCCTCTTTGGCAGCCTCAAACGCCATCAGATTGTACATAATTAATTGTTCCTTTTCTTTAATTTCACGCTTCAATCTCCCATCTTCGGCAAAATATGCCTCAATATTGTACTCCATTAGCTGCTCTTTTTCTTCAAGCTCATACTTCAATCTCCTATTTTTTGTTGGAAATAGAAAATTTTGGGAGGAAAGACTGGAGAAGAACACAAGAAGAAACTTTCCAGAAATGCTTCTGAATTCTTGGCTTGGATATATAAATGCTCGAGTCCAAGCCATTTTGTAGGGACAAAAGACTCCAAACCCAAAACAGTTCTAATTAAATGCAATTCCTAGAAACTGTAAAGATAAAATGCAATTGGGTACATGAACTATGCAGGTACATGACTAAAAATAAGAGATTAATAAATCAAGTTTATTTTTCCAACATTTTTAGCTTCAAGTGCATCCATATTGAACTTTATTAGCTGTTCATTTTCTTCAAGTTCATGCTTTAATCTCCGATTTTGAGCCCCAACTGGCAACTGCGTCCAGGTCTCCAATGAACGTCATTTGCTGTTCCTGCTCTTCAATTTCAATTTCACCCTTCAGTCTCCTATTTTCAACCTCAAATGCATCTATTTTGAACTTCATCCGCTTGTCCTCAAATAGCCGTTGTTCTTCGTGAATTTCAGGCTTTCATGGATCATTTTCAGTCACAACTACCGGTTTTCTTTCCTGAACATAACATGTATATAATACAACTTCAAGACCAAAAGTGCAGAGGAAATGAAATGATAAAAAGAAAGAACTGAGATTTTAATTACCTTGACCTGTCCTTTTATAGCATCCTGTGCTTTGTCCTCACTAATTTCACTAATATTTTCTTTTGAGCGAGGACCCCCAGTGGATGTTGCTAGAAATTGAGGTAAACCTTGATCCGTAAATGGATTCGTTGATCCAAAAACGTCATAGCCTGGTCCTTTCCTCCCCTGGAACTCTTGTAACAATCTCATTGTATCTGCAGGTTGATCTATTTGATCCAGCAGCCACAGCTGTGTTCAGGTTGCAGCCCTCACTTCCTCCCTTTGTCCTTGTTCTGGTAGACAATCCATTCGTACCTGCAGGTTGACCTATCTCTTGCTGTGTCAAAGGGTGTGTTGCCACAGCAGCCCGCCTGACTTGCTCTTGATCTCGACGGGGCACTGGTGATTGTTCCTGCAGGAACGACTTCGGGTCGGCTGTAGCCTGACTGCCTTGATTTAAGAAACCTCGTAAAAGTCCATGAGAACCCTCAGGGAACATTCCCCGAATTGTTTGCGGCATTCTACTTGTGCCAGGCTGCGGCGGTGGCTGTATTACAGCTTCACAGCCTTTTCTTTTTTTCTTTTTTCTTTTTTTTGATCAACTAAAGCTTCAGCTTTGATTTATTATTCCAAAATCTGAAAAAAATTTCACTTCTAATCGGAACTTGACCTAAATACTTTTGCTGCAGCCATGGTTGTGTTCCGGTTGTCGGTTGATTGCCTCCATTTCTCATCCAGTTCGGCAAGAATTGATTTAATTGTTGAAGTACATTTTGTTGCTCCTCAAATTTATTATGAAGCTGAGCCACCCTTTGATTCAACAAAATTTTGTCTCTACTCTGAGACTCCAATCCATCGTTTAACTGTTAAATTTGGCCTACAACTGTCTCCATATTCATTTGCAGCACTAGCTGATTCTTTTCTTCTATTTCATGCTTCAATCTCTTATTTTCAGCCACAAGTGCCTGCATGTTTGATAGCAGCTGGTCCATTTCCTGAATTTCATGCTTTAGTTGATCATTTTCGTCCTCAAGTGCCTTTTTTTCCTACCTGAACATGTATTTAATGATAATAAAATTCATGGCCACCAAACTCATGTAAGGTGCAAATGAAATGATAAAAGAGAAAGAGATCTTTACCTTGATTCATTTCCTATATTCTCTGTCGTACTCTTTTTTCTTATCAAGAGAAATTTCACCAGTTTTTCCTTTTTGAGGGTCCCCAATGGATGTTGCCAGAGATGGACCTAAATGTTGCAGCATCGACTGTTGCGTTGCCTCAGGAGCCTGACTACCTTGCCCTTGATTTATCCTCCTTTCTCGTAACAATCCAATTGAATCTGTAGATTGACCTACTTGCAGCGACGGCTGTGTTCGAGGTTCAGCCTGAATGCCTTGATTTGCTGTGGAGCTGGGCAAGAAATCACTTGTGCCTGCATGTTGACCTAATTGTTGCTGCAGAATTTGTTCAACGCATTGTTCCTTGGAATAACTTTGGAGCGGATAATCTAAACTATAATATTCATCTGGATTAACTGCTTCAATTCAGACATTAATTATATATCAAATTAAATCCAACGGATCAGCGAAAGTGAAAATTAATTATGGAAATTTAACACTTACAGTCTCGATCTCCGCAGATTAGTTGCCTGTTCTCATCGTAATAAGGTTCACTTCACTACAGCTGCCTCCAATTTCATAGTTCTCCCTGAATTTTTTTAAAAAGTTTCATCCTTACGGTCATTGGTACTGGTGGCCTCAGCAAATATATAAGGTGAATATCATTGATTGAAGCTTTGCTTCCTAATTGCTTCCTAATTGAGTTCATATGAGTCAACCCCGTGTAGGTTTTTCGTACGCTTCTAATTCTTCACTTGACTGACAGAAAAAGGTTGTTACTGTTGCTTAAGCTTGATAGACGACGTTCTCTTCGCTGCTGACAATGAAATGTAATCATTTTTCATACCCTTTTCGCCATTTTTAATTTATGAAATTTTCATTCTTGGTGTTGTCATTTGGTTTAATTTTGAAACTTTGCGTTGATAATATCAATTTCTTGGATTTGCATGAAAATTGGATGATTTGATTTAATAGGAAATCTCATTTTTGCTAATTCTGCTTGAGCTTGTTTGTTACGGTGGTTAGAGGCAAATGGTTAACAATTTTGCTTAAATTAAAATTTGATAAATTGTTTATTTTTAAATTATTTTAAAATAATTATTTAGTAAAATTTTTTATTTCAATGATAACTTAAAATTAAAAAATATCAACCACAGTCGATTTGTTAACATATAAATGGTTAACAATTTTGCTTAAATTAAAATTTGATAAATTGTTTATTTTTAAATTATTATAAAATAATTATTTAGTAAAATTTTTTTATTTCAATGATAACTTAAAATTAAAAAATATCAACCACAGTCGATTTGTTAACATATTAAATTTTTATTATTTTGTTGATGAAATTAAACATTAAAATTAAATAATAACGTATTATGAAATGCGAAATGAAAAACAAATAATTAAAAAATTCAGTGATAATTAATTTTTCATAAAAAATTTTAAATTTAAATTATATAATATAAAAATAAAATAT